TTTAAAATTATTAACTTAGACAGAAAATTAGAGCTAAAAATATTAATATTATATAGAAATTAATTAATTAGATATCTATAGATAGTTTAACTAAAAATCTATCTAATTAAAAATATTAGATTTTTCTAAACTATCTAAATATAACTGATATATCTGATCGATTTAATAAAACCAATTTAACTGATTTAAACTAAGATATTAAAATTAAATTAGTCCTATTTTAATCTATTTAATTTTTTACTATTTTTAGTGATTTTAATCGATCTTTTTACTAATTTTAAATTAATTTATCTATTAATTTTTTTATATAATCTATCTACTGATTTCTATTCAGATTTAATATCTATTTTTAGATATTTAAATCTGGGGGGGGTATATCGAAATAAAATTTTCTATTTAGAAAATATTTTAGATTTCTTCTAGAATATTTCTTTATTAAATAATACTAAATAAAATTAAAAGAATATTTTCTAAATAGGAAATATTCTAGAAAGCTTCTATAGTATTATCTATTTTAGATTAGATTAAAATCTTATTTTTAATTAAAGTCTAGAAGAAATCTATAATTTATAATAAATTATTAGAAATTATTTAAAAATTAAGAATTAGTTAGAATTAGTTATAATAATAAATTTACTAATTCTATATTAATTTAAAATTATTTACTAAAAGTAAGACCTAAAAAACTATCTATAAATAAGATCTAAAAGTATCTACTAAATAATCTTTTTGATTCAAGTAGATTATTAACCAACTATCTGATTATTAAATAGTCAGATTTCCTATTTATTTATTTGATCTCTTCAAGCCTATTCTATCTTATCTAGTTATTCAATCTATACTATTATTCTATTTTTATATCCTCTCAAGCCAGCCCTAAGACTATTCCGTTTTAGGATTAGGGCAGCTGACAGAAATTTTACTCTGACAATATCTAAGCTCTAATTATCTTTTTATCTATCTGACCTAGGGTTCCGAGTCAGATAACCCTAGTTTCCTACTTAATCTAGTAATCCAATCTATTATTTATCTTTTGATATATTGACCTTACCTAGTCTGCCCTAAGACTATTCTGCTTTAAGTTTAGGGCAGCTGACAGTATCTAATATCTGCAATCTGCGGATGCGGATATGACTTTGACATCCAACGGAGCGGATTTGCCGCAGCCTAGTACAGAGTCGTAAATTAGTCTAAGTAGCCGTCTCCCTGGCACCTGTGACCCGCCTGTCTTGATCTAGTATAAGGTATCTAGTCTGGTAGACAGTGTCTGCTAGACACTGTATAACTACAGGCCCATGGGTTATGGTAAGGTTCTGCATGACCCGGCTATTATAGGCTAGAAATTCTATTGGTTACAGATATGTTAAATGTCTGTTGGCGACACCTCTAGCCCTTGACGTCACCCGAAAGCTCATGTGTTGTGAGTCATGTGTCTTCTATCTGACTCAATCTGAGTAATAGACTCTTATCAATGAACTCTGCATCCAACTATGGAGTACCCACTTAAGTAATCATATTCTGCTGACTGTCACAGGACACAACCATGCTTGAAGAACCAAGTTTCGTCAGCAGCTTTCCAGGTATTCAACTCTGATGCTATGGCCTAGACAAGTATTAGTCTTAGACAAAATCGAGGACTTCTGATACAGTGCATAGTTATAGCATTTGCACTAATGTGCTGGTTAAACAACTCTGAAAGGCGAACTGCCTGGGGCTCCCAAGCTACTGTGGGTAATGGGGTATCAAGCTACTATGCATATAGATTCATATATGGCCTCTATCTAACACCAAGTACAGTATATTGTCGATTAGTACAATCCTATGAAGTCATAGTTAGGATTACCAAAAAGCACTGAGTAAAGGATCAGGAAGCCGTCAGAGTAGGCGGGGTAAGTACTAGGCAGTCGCTGTCTACGTGCTTAACATACTCCCGTGTGAGAGATTGCCATTGTTAGGTCTGACCGTCAGGCAACTGCAAGCTGTGGGGCTGAAGATCGCCCATGATTCATCCACCAGAGGTAGTGTGATACTACAGGTGATCTGACTCTTACCCACCCTTTCAGCCTAACCTGCTGAGAAGAAAATATCAATTCTGGGCCGCTATTGGCGGGTACAATGCCAAATCTGCCCCTCGATGGATGCCACACGGTGGGTGTACCCACACCACTACCCCCCTTTATAGTAGAATTTATCCCCGCTCTCCTGTGGCAGTTGTCGTCATATGGCCCTTATTACCGGCACTATATATTGGTAAACAGCAATATATCCCTCTTCAGGTTACTGTAGAGCTTTCAACACCCGGTAGGCCCTGTTTGCATATTAAAGCCACATATACATGAAAATCATACCTTCCAATGCTTTCTGGTGACAATGCAATTGGTGTTCGCAGAGGAACCGTGACCTTGTGATTAGGTAGATGTTTCTACTGCCACGCGCCAACCCCGCATGTCTTATGAGTATCATGGGTACTGCGCTTAAAGCATCAGCCCCAGTCATTGGCGCATTGACTCATAGTTCGACCTCTCCTCTGTTTCGCGTCCACCTTTCTCAGGGGCCTTAGTGTATTTCCATTCTTCCGAATAGGAATAGGCTCGCCCTGTTGATATGACTTTGAGTTCCTTAAATACATCACGGCACCCCCCGCCCTTCTTTCCAATTGAGACCTTAACCTGTAAGAGATATCACCCAATCTTCGTATCAAACACCGCACGCTCGGTCATAGTGAGCCTTATCGCCGAAGGGGTTCTATGTCATCTGCCTATTGCCACCCATAAGACAAAGAGGCGGCCCTGACAAATCACTTTCACGTGTGCCTTGCCAACATTGCCCAATCCTTTTTCCATTGACTTCCATAAACATATACCATCACTGCTCGTCACATATCGGCTTCTAGGCACTATATCTTTAGCACAACACCAGCAGTGACTTTCCTGTTATACTTACTCACATCCCCATCATTTTTGGTTGTCTGCGACTGACAATCAGTCCATTGGGATGACCTCATTTACTGTTACCTCACCTTTGGGCCGAAGCGACAAGGCAAACATGAATCGTTTACCATCCGTTTCCAGCCTAATGTCGCCCCCAGAGTCCAAACCTTTCGATAGTTTTAACCCTGTATTTTCACCCCATCAAGTGTCACAGGATCCCTCATTCAGCCATGACATGAAACTTCCTCCTATCTCCGTTGACCGGAAGCGGACACAATCGGAGATGGACTTGCCGTCGCCACCTGTCACTCCCTACACAGGCAACAAAAAAAGGAAGTCAAATACATCAGAGCAGATCGAGGGGGATGCAGTAGTTGGCTCTTCAAGGGACCCTGTCCTTTTCCCTCGCCACGATTCGCTCACAGAGGTTGCTACTGATGAGCCGTTGTTTGGTCCTATGCTTCCGACCGCGACGGAAGCATTGGTTGAGCAGCATATTAATTCCCACATGGCAAGGTTTGAAAATAAACTAAATAAACCGACACGCGATGAGTACCTTCTAGCTCTTTCGTGTGTGCCAATCGTTTCAGCTCAATATAATCGCAACCCAGGAGCATGGGCTAAAGAGGAGCGAGAAACGCTCGAGCGCCAACTGGTCATGATGAATCGTTGTCGCCCGCACACACTGGAAGCGAAATTAAAGAGAATCGCGCCAGCGCCGGCCAAGAGGACAGTTCCTGCTCAGACTCGTGCGCAGCGGACTCCCAGGGCCAAGCGTACACCAAGATTCACACCGAAGCAAAAAGTTTTGGACACTTTTGACTTAACCCCACAATCCAGTAACAAGCAACCCCGAGCTATAGGCACAAATCGGGATGACACAGATTATAAATCGATTATGGATTACTCCCCTCCTTTAGAGACTCTCGGAAGCAATGCAAAGGCATTAAAAGCAGACTGGAAAGGACAAATGCTGGATCTCAGCAATGATTCAGATCGACACTTGCTGAATGCCGCCGAGCTCAACCTTGCAGCCACATTAAGGCTTTCCTGTGCAACATATCTATGCAGCAAGCGTCGCATTTTTGAGGCTCGTGTCAAGGCTTTGAATGTCGGGAAAGAATTTCGAAAGACAGATGCTCAACAGGCTTGCAAGATCGATGTTAATAAAGCAAGCAAGCTTTGGACGGCATATGACCGAGTTGGCTGGTTCAGACCGGAGCATTTCGAACAATTTCTTAAATGACGTTACGAGATATATCACTGAAGCCTGCCATCCAACTTTTTTGCATTCGATCATCTCATTTTTTTTTGTTGGTTAATTAGCGAGTTCGTTCCCAGGATCATGCATAGTATTTCAAACCTTTTGTTCTATGTCACTAGGCATGGCTGGTCTGTGTACGACGGTGTGACTTTTGCACTTTTGACCCATCCTTTTACGGAATCCGATCTCCTTTGCTGTTGGCGTTGTAACTGGGGTATGTTGGCATTCCTCTTATGCATAGCTGTCGTTGATGCTCTTTTATGGCCTTTTTTTTTTTTTTTTTTTTTCTTTTTTTTTTTTTTTTTTTTTTTTTTTTTTTTTTTTTTCCCTTTTCAAGGCGCAATATTTGGCAGGAGACACATCCCAGACGTGTCCATATGTTTTATCATACTATACCTACCGTGGTTTGACGCGTTGGGTGCGATTCATATTACCTAGAATGGCAGATTCGCATTTGGTGCTAGTGAATTTTCGATGATCGACCTGGTTTAAACAGAAGACCCCAGGGCCTTGACATTTAGCTGTATCATTGAGGCAGATGGCTGACCTTCCTGCATGCCTTTCCCTATTATATGCAGGATCTCGCCCAGAAACCTTTATGTTTATATTGTTTCTTTTATTGTATGAGAGGATGCTTATGCGAAATTGAGGGTAGAGGGGAAAAAAGAAGGGAGATGGGCCTCATGAACGTACGGCAAGCAATTCACCCTAGCTCGTTAATGTTAATGCCTCCCATATGTGATTACCCTGGCTTTGGCCTCGAGATAGAGTTTTCCAAAAACAATGTTCCTCTGCTGCCGCTGGTGTATTAATCGATTATTCACGTGACACACTCCAAGATGCTGTTTTTATCACTACTGTCCATAGAGAATTCAAATGCGGTAAGCGGATGCGACGCCCAGCAAACTAACTACGTACGCAATCCCCGTTACTTCCGGTCCGCGCCACATGTGGTAAAGTCCGACCTCTATTGTTTCGTGCATCTGTTCCTTTACCGTCTCCATCCTGGCATCTGATTTATATAGTTAAGCCTTCAGTCTTCCTTTGTGTTACGCGCTTGAACCGGTGAGGAAGCCTCCAAACGATAATGTCTCATACCGAGGCCGCTCGTACAGATTCCTTGGGTGAACAGGAAACTCGGGGTGATGTGGAGAGCGATAAAAAGGCCAAAAACAGACGACCTGCAAGTATGGATCTACGCTGTCCTGCGAGTATTGCAACATCAGTATTTTAATTAATGTTTATGTCGTATCTAGATACTGCTTTTCGGCAACAGCGCTTGAAAGCCTGGCAGTGAGTTTCGAGTGCCAACGGCTTGCATAGTATTCGTGTCTCATCTTGCTAACACTTCACAGGCCTATCTTGACACCAAGGAGTGTGCTGCCTTTGTTTTTCGTCGTTGGTGTCATTTTTGCACCCATTGGGGGCCTTCTCTTATGGGCAAGCTCTGAGGTAAGATCGAAAATATCGTGATGCGCCTGCTGCTAATGGCAACCGTACATCCCTGAAGGTACAGGAAATTGTGATAGACTACTCTGAATGTGCTGATAAAGCACAACGGACCCCCGTCCCGATCCCAGACAAAGTCCAATCGTCTTTCAAATCTTCCAATCAGCAGCCCAATCCGACTTGGATGAAATATAGAGATGAACAGACGAATGAGACCATTTGTCGCTTGAGTTTCAAGATCCCAGAGAGCATTGAACCTCCTGTGTTTATGTATTATCGTCTGACAAATTTTTACCAAAACCATCGGCGATACGTCAAATCGCTAGACATAGACCAACTTAAAGGAAAGGCAGTCGACAATAAAACTATTGATGGCGGTTCATGTGACCCCCTCAAGCTTGATGACAACGGCAAGGCATACTATCCATGTGGACTTATCGCCAACTCTATGTTCAATGATACCATCAAAAGTCCCGAGCTCTTGAACGATGGAAACGACGATGATCCTGTAGTATACGTCATGACTAACAAGGGCATCGCATGGGATAGCGATAAAGAACTTATTAAGACCACGCAGTACAAACCAGGACAGGTTGTCCCTCCCCCGAACTGGCAGGCCCGCTATCCGCATAATTATACCACCGAGATTCCTGACCTTCACGATAATGAGGAATTCATGGTTTGGATGAGGACAGCTGCATTACCCAACTTCAGCAAACTGTCCCGGAGGAATGACACCACGGCAATGTCACCAGGCACTTACCAATTGGATATCGCAGACCGTAAGATCCATCCTTTACGCAATATCCGTTCTGTGTTAACTGTTGTCCAGACTTTCCTGTTACAGAATATGGGGGAACAAAGTCAATACTCATATCTTCTCGGACCGTTATCGGTGGGCAGAACCCTTTCATGGGTATCGCGTATGTCGTTGTTGGCGGTCTATGCGTCCTTCTTGGTGCGCTTTTCACTATTGCTCACCTAGTGCGGCCTAGGTAACGATGCCTCCCTCCTTCAACCTAATTCACGTAGACTTGATGAACCTAACAATACATACAGGAAGCTTGGAGATCACACATACTTGACCTGGAATAACGAGCAGGAAAGTAGCGCCACAGCAACCGGGAGAGATAATAGGTTTGGGCCGAATACCCATTAAATGATACTCTCTTTCCAACCACCCCACCGTGCGTTATTGTACACCGTTGAATGCTCATCAAGTTGGCCAATCTGCATGGTTCCTTCTATGGTTCTTGCCAAACCATGCATCATAGTTCGAGGCATCTGCGGCTGGAGTTCTGGTGTCTGTTAGTTTAAGCGGCCCTTCTCTTGCTTAACTGTTAGTATGACTGTTTTTGTTGCTACGCTAGTGTCATCTGGATTGGGTGCGTCTTCAAGAGTAAGAGGCCACCTCATTACGAAGACTGATCTAACGATGGTTGTCGCCAGATTGTTATTTTGAGTTTCCCAGATAGGTTGTTTACACCCCTTGTTAACATTCCCATTACGTTATGGCATTCTTGGACTCAATCATGCTTCTCTTTCAACAGCATCGCTGGTTATATTCAACCGGTAAGCTGGTTCTGGCAAATTTCTATGAAGCCACCAATGTTGAAAAAAGATGTCGCATTTTCCCACTTTACATATTTTGATCCTTGTGATAGCCAATCTACAAATTCAATGCTTCGCTTTTGTTTCGCAGAGTCGTGGCTTTTGTGCGACCGGCCCGCCCACTGAATCCCTGAAGGCAGAGTACAGGAGATTGAGCGCACTAGGTTCTCAGAGTTACAACCCTGTCGATTCCGAAAGTCGGGCGGCAGTCACCCCGATTGAGATAGATACGTGGTTCCACATCGTTACTGGTGAAGCTGGAACTGAATCGATCTCAGATGAGATGATTGCTGATCAGGTCAGTAGTGGCACCTCACATTAGTTCTTGCTCCATGTTCGCTTTTTTGCTGGGTTTGAAACCCTACCTGGTATTCTCGATAAGTATGATAACAACGATCGTCTGACACTTATGTGAAGCTTTCTTACCTTCAAAACGCATACTCGAATGCCACAATATCCTATCGCTTACAAGGCGTGACCCGCTCGGCAAATAATACGTGGGCTCGCAATGAGGACGAAATGGTTATGAAGACTGTCCTTCGGAGAGGGAGTTACCGTACGCTCAACGTTTACTTTCACACTGATCTCCAGGCGTCTGCCAGCGCGGGCGCCAGAGCTTCTGACCTTGTCGGCCGCGAACTGGGTTCCTCGCAACAACAACCTACCAGCATGCTTGGTTTTTGCACATTGCCTGACCCGAGCATAAACGCTAGCAGCCCTCGGTCTACTTATATCAAGGATGGCTGCAATGTACTTGCGGAGACCATGCCGGGTGGTTCTCTTGCACATTACAACAGAGGCGGTACAGCAATTCATGAAATAGGTCACTGGAATGGTCTGCTGCACACCTTCGAAGGAGAGTCATGCTCACCCGATAACGAGGGAGATTTTATCGCAGACACGCCGCAGCAATCCAAGCCCACAGAAGGGTGTCCTGCCCAGAAAGATTCATGCCCGGAGCTCCCAGGGTTTGATGCTATCCATAATTTTATGGACTATTCATCTGATGAGTGTTACGATTCCTTTACTCCAGATCAGGTCAGTAGGATGCGAAACATGTGGTTTACGATGAGAGACGGGAAATGAAACATGAAGAATACATCGTCGTTTCCTCATGGAGTATATCACCTCTCAGTACATGGATGGAACCTGCCAATTCATACTTTATTCCCACTCCTGTGTGTTATTCGATATTGTTTGTCATGTGAAATATGCCACGTGGTTATGCAGTCCAAGTGTGGGAACAGTATACATATACATTGTATGCTACGCTGGAGTCAGTGAGATAAATAAAAGTAATAAATAGCGCGCAACCGCAACAGGTTACTCTGAATTCGTTTGACGCAGTGGACTACGCATCTAGAAACCATTCCAAACAGACATTTTTCGTTCGGCCGAGTATGCTATATCAGGCAGGACGCTCAAGCTCTGGAATTTACAGCAGAGTATAAAAGCTGGGATTGGATTGACGGCAGGACTAAAGAGTGACAGCGCTGCACGAGATCTTTACCACCAAGGTGCACTGTGGGATGAGACCATGGAATAACTAGGACAATGTGTTCGCTAGGAAGGGAAATGGCTATCCTCTGGATCTCCACAGCTAGACGCTAGGAAGATGCCATGGCAATGACGACTATACAGATTATATACGAAGCGACGAATGCCCTAGGCGTCCACGACATTGTTATCGATTTGCCTAAACACCCTGCTAGTTTCACATGACAGGGAAAGCAATGTCTAAAATCTAGTCATCATCACCATGAAAGTAGCTGAATTCCCAGAAGAAAAATATAGGGGAAGTAAAAGGAAAGAGAGAAAGGCTGCATAAAATGCCCTATGATACAATTACAAAGACTTAACGTTTTCGCTTCTTACCACGTTCCTCATCATCCAAGCCACTTTCTCTGTCTTTCTTCTTGGCCTTCCTTTCCAGTTCGTCCCAATCCTCACCACTGTCCTCATCCGCACTGAAATCCTCACTTGCCTCAGCACTGGCATCATCATCAAATTCGCTATCGTCTTCCGAGCTTTCGTCTGCCGCAGCAAGTTCTGACTCCGACAGTTCGAAGGCAGATTCCTCCTCATCAGATGCACCATCCTCGGAATCAGATTCTGCTGCAAGAAATGACCAACCTCCATCTGCAAAGAAGCCGTATGGATCACTAACGACCGTCTTCATGATTGTAGTCCAGTTAAGGTTTAGTGGCCCTTCCGTGAATGCAATATCGACAGAATCGAGCCAATCTTTCACTCCTTCAAGGGACTCAACGGGAATTGTGTTAACATGAACAGGTGGTCTGTGGAAATCTTTAAACACAAACACCAAGTCAAAGTTCTTGAGCCCAAACTACAGTCATGTTAGCAATATGAAGCGCGACTCCGTCCAACCAGTACATACCTGAACTCTCTCTAAATGAGCAATTTCAATCTCATTTAGGGTGATCACAAGAAAAGGGGGCTCTGTAAGCTGGACCAGAGCATCCGTGGTTGGCTGAATTAAGACATTGGAGCGGTTCGGTACACCAGTGAAACCGATTTCTCTAAACGGGATGTCAACGTCCACTCCTTCGTCTTTACCAGCATCTGCTATTTTTTCAGCGAAGGCCTTAAATTCTCGATCCAAGGCTGCTCTCCGCCGTCTCTCTTCTTGCTCTGCCTCGAACTCTTCCTCGTCACCGTAGCGATGTTTGCGCCTACGATTGCCAGTCTCATCAAATTGCATTTCAGTTGCCTCCCGATAGAACTGCACGTCCCTCGTCTTGCGCTTGCCAATCATAATGGGTGTTTTCAGGTGAACGTGGATCAGGACAATTAACTCGTGGGCACAGGGCTGAAAAAATAGGTGTTTCACATTGCTGAAAAGTACGTCGACATGCTCGTTTCGGAAAGGTGACATATAACGAAGACCATTTTGGTGGATTTCGACCTCTCCGGGGACTCGTTTGCCATCTAATGGAGGCCGAAGATAAACGTCGGGTAATCTCACAGGACGGCGATCTGGAGAAATATTAGCTCATGCCAGCAAGATTAAGGTTTATTGCCAAATACTTCTGATTTCCACGAGTTTATCTTGCTCCACTACATCTTCCATCTCTTTCTTCTCCTGTTCTCGCCTCAAAGCATTTTTTCTGAGCTCTGTGATATCTTGAGCAACCTGGGCAAGTCGTTCATTGTCTTTAGACCTGAGGGTTAAATTGCGCAAAAAGTGTGCTGATATGTCTTCAAATGGTTGGTCATCCTTCCGACCAACACCCTGCCCTGGGGAAAGAAAATTAATTCGGAGATAAGCGTATTCCCCTTCGTCACTTTTGCTAGCATTCTTGATTGTGTTGATATGGAAAGGTACTGGTCGACCCATGATTGGAACAATTACCGTTGATGCTTTGTGATCCACATAAATGGTTAGATCTTTAACCTTAGTAGGCAACTGATTATCCCTCTTGTACGATTCAAATCGTTTGAATTTTTTCTGTGTGACTCCATTATCGTCACCAGTAGTACCGGCGAAGCGATCGAGGCCTTCCTTTGTCTTTTTTGTCGCCAACTCCTTCTGGTGTTCGCGTCGTCGTGCCTCTGCACCTTCATTGACCTGAGTCGGTCGCTCGGCGCGAAGTTTGGTGCGAGTAACATTTCTGCTAGCCATTGCGCTGGATTTGACTTCCTTTTTCTCTTTGGCAGGTTTCTGCGGTTCCTCTTCGTCTCCGAAGTAGAATGAAACAGAATCCATATCAATACCTGCCTCCTTAGTGAATATGTGCGGACCATTTTCTCCAACACGTACAGTGTCTGTAATAATCATTGAGTAGACAGTGTTGTTTTTGTCTTTTGACTCCAGGTCTTCGACATCTGTTAGCCCCACCGTTATAGAAAGAGTCATTCCACTCTTCAAAATCTTGTTGTTTTTGCCATTCAGAACCATATTAGAATCTCGGAGCTCAATTCCAATACCGGCCCCAACGCTTTTAACAAAATGACTTTCAAGCTCAGGTTTTTTGGCTCGTACCAGCCCGATCGCTTTGTTAAATAAATCCTTGGCCATCGTCCCGTCGCGAACGTCTTTCATGACTGCATCATGAAGGTTCAGTAGAAAGGCATAATTAGCTTCCTGGGACTTGCTCGGATCCACCAAATAGGTGCGTGCTATTATGGAACTGTAAGTTTTGTAGCGGATTCCAAACCCAGCAACAATAATCCCAGCCTGAAGGTGACTATTATCAGACGTAGCTGTAAGTCGAAGGTCATACTTTCCTCCACTCTGAATGACAGGGCCATAGGCCCAATCAATCTGTTGGGGATCAAATTCCGCTGGGAGCTTAGCAAGTTTCTTAAAGAATTTCGCATCATCAATTTTTGCGTCGATCCGCATCGAGAGCGCCTTGTGGGTCATTTGCTTCTCTTCGTCAAGTAAGCGGGACATCTCATCGACGAAATATTCTGACATTAAACCACTACAAGCCCTTGACGCGTTTCGTATAGCCACCTTCACAATATTAGCTCTCAGTTCGCTCGGGTGCAGCGCCAGGAAAAGAGCTTACCAACTCATCTGTATCCTTCACCGAAAAAGCGGCCGAAGAAAGAGCGGGTGAAATGTCGACTTCTTCCACATCTTGCGTTATGTTTGCAAATGCACGCTTCCAATCTTCCGCGAACGGGCCAGCAGCTGTATCTTTTGGAAGTACACCAACCCTTTTCTGTTGCAAGTATTCGATTAGCACGTATGGTGTATATTCGCGTGTTTAGTGCCTGGGAACACTCACGCCGGCATTTTTTATGACTTCTAAGCATTTTTCGAAAGATCTAGTCTTTTCGTCTGGATCCTTGGATGTGACAAGTATCTCCACTGGGATCTTACCACCTTTCAAGGGCTCAAGGTGTTTGGCTACAATTAACAGGCCAGTGTTAGTTGAGAGATACGTGGAGTCAGTATTAGGCTAGTCCTCACCCTTTTTTGCTGTAGTCACAACATACATCATATCTGTCGTGAAAACCATAAGTGTAGCCGGAAATTCATAGCCAAGAAGCCAAAACTAGAATCGATGATTAACAATTTGGAGCTTTGTGCGTGAAGGAAACAATGAGTCATACATGCATCGCGTTGTTTTTCTGAAAGCTATTTGCTTCATCTGTTTTCCCCATAAGGATAACGATTGATCCTACGCCGCCAAAAGCTGCGTGGCCAGATCGTTTGTCTGCCTTCCATGCTGCAAAGAAGCTCGAAAGACGGTTGAAAAAAGCGTTTTTATCGATCACGATCTCTTCAGCCATGGTGTATATTATTCGGGTTCGAGTCGAAGATCTGATACCTTCTGATCTTCAACCAAAGTCTGGGTGAGGGGACGGGAGTATGAAGCAAAAAAGAGAGTAATATATCACTGGGCATGTATCAGACAGTCACCCAAGTAGCCACTATTGGCACGGCTACTTTAGGTTGATATGTGGTTGTGGAAGCAAGCGACATAGGTAGACGCTTATCAGGAGAAGCTAGTAATAATTCTCAGGACTTGTTACGAACGCGAGTCAAGAGCGGCAAAGCGCGTTTTGGGCAAAGCCTTCAAGTGTTTGCACTGTTTGATTCAACTACAGCGACGATATTACGGCAGAGAGAGTTTATCACATATGGGACCTCAAGCGCGCTGAGGTATGTCCACAGCCACTACTAGTACAACTGCCTCATATTGCCAGATGTATCCCTAAATTATTTCTATTCATCACATTTTCTTATACTATCAAGACGGTTCTTGGTTCATTGTTTCTGGACTTATTGTACCTTTCGCTTTCGTTGGTTTTAGCGTATAGATACGGGCACCTTCCTGATGGAGCATGTCAATCTTAATACTACAAAATGGAATCCCAAAAATGCTTCACCCCTGGTCATACAATAGACCGTGGTTCTTATGTTATCAGTTCAGATACCGAAGGCTCTTCCAACAAGAAACCACGAAATAACGCAGCCACCGGGGCTTCTGCTGCTGGGGTTCGTGCTCTCAGCGCGCAGTTGGTTGCATTCTACTTTAGAGCGCCAATAAAAGCATTCTTTCGCACTCGAGTTGAGTATGAAACCGTGCCTTTATTTCATCTTTTGTGTACTTTACTCGGAGAATTCACATTGACTTGACTTCTTTACCTTTAGTTACATGGTACTTGATCCGGTCTCCCATCCTCATATATTCTCAGTACTAATGCGGGCCGTCTATTTATGCACTTTATAATAGGCATTTGCCAGGGCTGTCAATCCACACTCGTCTGAAAGCCGATGGTCCCTCCATACTACTACCCCGGGGTTACTTGTCCACGCTGTTCGCACATATGGTTGGCGCTTTATTCCAAATCAGATCATGCCTCCCCTTTTGGCAAATGCCGGGTGGGTTTATGGAGAAAAGTACACCCATAGTATACGTCTGACTTCGCGAATAGGGTTGGTGCTGTGCTATATACATCATACCTCCAAGTTCTTGGAGCCATGTATGAGCCAGTGTCCCGTGGGGTGAAGCGCATCTATCCGCCTGCTAGTCCGTTATATACATTTACAGCTGGATTTGCGGCTGGAACTATTCAATCGATAGTGGCTGCACCTTTAGATGCTCTCCAGGTTCGTCTGCGGGCGAATGACATACTTGAAGGACAGTATCGGAGCATGTGGCATTACGGCCGACATAAACTCAAACAGATCGGCATTCGTGGTATCTTTGCGGGTTGGAGTCTGTCATTCTTGCGTGACGCTTTCGGCTATGGCGTCTTTTTCTCGTTCTTCGAGTACATCAAATCGCAGGCATACTATTCATTTATCACGGGATACTATGGATCTTTGCGCGCTCATCATGTGAACGAGCTGTTGTCTACTCAGTCCGGTGACCGCGGTGTTCCACTTATCAAACCTCACTATACTCTGGAGCCATGCTTCTTGATGGCCGCGGGCGTTGCGGCATCTATAGCCCAGCAAGCAATACAGCACCCGCTAAGCATCATACAGAATCTTCATGTTGCTCGACTAGAATACTTGGATCATCAGGCAAGTCTCCACCCTTCCAGGCGGCAAATGTTACGTCTTTATTATCTTGCCTATCAGGAGACATACAAACGATGCAGGAAGAGGGCCACGCGAGCTGGTGGCTGGCGCCATTGGTTGTTTCGCGGATATGTAAGAAATGCCATTCGTCAAGTGCCTAGCACTAGCGCTGGATTGGTGATATTCGAGTTGCTGCGTCGTAAATATGCCAGTCTGGCAGATGCCGTGTATATTCAAAAAGATGGATATGATATTCTTCTATCATAGTGCTTCCTCTATTCCACGTGATGTATTTTGAATGAGAAGATAAATCAGCTGAGGAGCTAGTAGTCGAATAGTGATCGTATTAGCCCCGTGGTTGGAAGATGACGCAGGCGCAGTATAAAGACTGCGCCATGATGTCAATTAGCTGTCAAATATGGAAGCTAATGTGCTTGTCAAGCCCAAACAAGGGAAAGGATATCTGCAAGCTGTCTACTAGTAGTTCTCTCTGTACATCCATTTTTCTCCTGTGAATAAAATCCCTGGTATACTTTAAAGTTGGCGGTTACCTAACGGGAATAAATGATCATATGTAACCGGCTAAATATTTCTGCACGAGAACCCCGGTGGTTCGAAAAGAGGAATTAGCATCATGAATATATTCCATTGGTGCACGGGGTGACTGCCCAGACTTAGTCAGTCGATTGGAAAGTAACCCGACCCGATAATTTATCTATGTTATATACATATTGTGTACATAGTATCAGGCCTAGGTATATGTTCTGTAAATACAGTACTTATACCAGGTAAGTGATTCTGATTGCCAAGGTACGTCTTTGAACTTCGTGTAAAGTCCAGTACCTAGAAGAGGTTCTACCTGGTCCATTACCTCATTAGAGTGGCCTACTATCCAGTCCTTAGCATCTGGAAGTCCCAGAATAGTTTAGTATGCGCGTCTGGGTCGAATGGATGGACAATTTACTTAAGACTAGATCAAGTGACCCATATTTCCTGGATCCACCCTTCCGCTGATTGTGGAGGTTCCCCCAGATACTCCGGAGTACACCTCCAGCAAAGAATAATCAAATGCTATTATTACAGTCACCGTTACAACTGTTCATTATTGCCGCCAGGTATTTCAGAGCACTATTCCTTAATTTTTGTTCTGTGTGAAGTCCCACACCTGGGTATGCCTTTTAAAGCACATAAACTTCATTCAGTGATCAGCCGTACTCCATACGTATTCTTGGTTGTAATGCATCACCTGCTAACGTAAATATGCTCTTCGCCCAGCCTGTTAGCAGCCTTATTTGATCCCCTTTCCTTACCTCCACCTGACCGTCTCTTCTCGGCTGAACAACATCGATTTTCGTCATTTTGCATTGTTGGTCAACTGCCCGTCTCGTGAACACAACCATCATCACCGCTTTCTACTCTCGTTGATTCGTCTATTGGTCATTTACTGTCCCTCCGCCTCAGCTTGTTTTCCGTCGCCCTATCACAGTGCTGTTCTTCTGATTCATCCCTTCGAGCGGGACTCATCGGGGCCAGCCTGTTAGTTCGTATGCCCCTTGATGAAATTTCCTTACTCCGTCTCTTTGCGGAGGAACACGGGGGGTCTCTACCCGCATCACTTGTTGATCTACCTAAATCAAACGTATTGCCTACTCACCTTTCACCGCAAGAAGGGCTGGTAATTGCAGCCCATCACGACCGCCAACATTACTTCGACATCTTCACCGCGTACTTCCTCGAGCATACCCTTGCGGTCCTTAGAATACCGGTCTCGGTCACCCCCTGTACAGTCTGTTAGAGAACGCGAATCTGCTAGCGAGAAGGGTAGCCGGCGTTCTTCTTTATCTGCACGGTCTGTCGAGTCTGAGTACTCTCTCTGGACAGACACTGGCGACTTAGCTGAGCAACTCGCTAATGAAGAAGACCCTCTTCGGATCCGTCTCGAAGAATCTCTGGATCGTGAGATCTCTAGTCGATTGGGATCGAGGGCTCGAGTAAAACAGCTGAAACGAGTACATTATCCTAACGAAAGCAATCTCGTCACTGAACAAGCCGAACCCGAAAAAACATCGATAGAGATACCCCGTCCCCCGGCCCGGCATATTTCGCGGGTTGAACGTCTTCTCGCTGTCATAATGTCTCCAAGTAATCGGCAGACGGCACAAATGCATGGCTTGGTTGGGAAGCCATTGCTGTAAGTGAATCTTATATTCTTACACTTTTCTTTGGTCTGTATTCTCGCTAACCCCACAAAGGTACTTTACTAGTGTCTTTGTATCTTTAGGTGTCTTTCTTTTTGGCTATGACCAAGGTGTCATGTCTGGTATTATCACGTTCGTCTCCTGTCCCAAAAGAAGGTTTCAGAGAGTTCTCAAATTAATAACGAGGCAGTGGTTGGTATTTTAAGGACTATTTCAACCAACCGTCACGCGCTGCAATTGGTACGGTTGTTGCAATCCTGGAGGTTGGAGCCTTTATATCTTCGTTACTCGTTGGACGTATTGGCGACTTGATAGGGCGCCGCCGAACGATTCTTTATGGCTCAATAGTCTTTTTCATAGGTGGGGCATTGCAGACATTTGCAAATGGACTTGCCATGATGATGGTCGGTCGTATTGTCGCTGGTTTAGGAGTTGGCGCATTGTCAACGATCGTACCTGTTTACCAGTCTGAGATATCGGTAAATCATATATCCCCAGCCATGTCAACCACTGCTAACAGCTAGCCTTAAGCCTCCCCATAACCGAGGGAAGTTGGCCTGTATTGAGTTCACCGGAAATATCTCAGGATATGCAGCCAGTGTCTGGGTTGATTACTTCTGTAGCTTTATCGACAACAACTATTCGTGGCGTCTACCATTGCTATGCCAGTGTATAATGGGAGCTCTTCTTGGACTGGGAAGCCTCATTATATGTGAATCACCAAGGTATGCCTCCTGAGAGCATGCCGAAGTATGCTTATGCTTACAACCAGAACATGTGCTAATGTTCGTTCAATCAGATGGCTGTTAGATAATGACTATGATGAGGAGGGTATGGTAGTTATTGCTAATCTCTACGGACAGGGAGATTTGCACAATGACAAAGCAAGGCAGGAGTACAGAGAAATTAAAATGGATGTCCTTCTTCAGCGGCAAGAAGGTGAAAGATCCTACACTGATATGTTCAAGCGATACCACAAACGAGTCTTAATAGCCATGTCCGCTCAGGCTTTAGCCCAACTGAATGGTATTAACGTCATCTCCTATTACGCCCCGCTCGTTTTCGAATCAGCAGGATGGGCTGGCCGCGATGCCATTCTGATGACTGGCATCAATGCGATTTCATACCTGGCATCCACGGTTCCGCCATGGTACCTTGTTGATCGCTGGGGAAGGCGACCAATCCTCCTTTCGGGAGCAGTCGCTATGATTGTCTCTCTCTCTTTGATATCATATTTTATTTTCATTGATGTTGCAGCAACTCCAACGCTCACTGTGATTCTCGTTATGATTTACAATGCTGCTTTTGGTGCATCCTGGGGACCTATCCCATGGCTATACCCGCCCGAGATCTTGCCGTTAAGCATTCGTGCAAAAGGTGCCAGTCTTAGCACGGCTACAAACTGGGCTTTTAATTGGCTTGTTGGAGAGCTCACACCGGTCCTTCAGGCCGTAATAAAATGGCGACTCTACCTAGTACACGCCTTTTTCTGCGCGTGTAGCTTCGTCCTTGGTTAGTATCATTCTCTTTAGCAGGTTACTATATCCTGACATGTGCTTTGCTTAGTTTACTTCCTATACCCGGAGACTAGTGGAGTTCGGCTCGAGGACATGGATACTCTGTTCGGGGACGCAACAACTGCCATGCCAACACCCGCCTCCCAAGGAGAACATGGCTCTCTAATGAGTGTTGGTTCGCCTGTGCCTTCACTTGACATACGCCGGCAATATGGCCAGTTTGGACCTGAAAATGCCATTCCTGGTCTAGACATCGATCCTCCAACCATCAATGCTGGCGAGAACGCTAAAGTTGGTCAACGTGGCTCTCAAAATGGCGGTGGCGGCCGCCTTGAAGGCCTTGGCGGTTGGATTTCGAACATGGTCTCTCGTCATAAGGGGTCATCTGAGCAACGGCTTCAAGGCACTCAGTATAGACGCCTTGAGCAAGATGACGGGGACGAGTAATGGGACGGTAGGGGCATCATCAGATCACAACGGGGCTCCTATATATCATCCATCGATATCGCACTGCCTTCTTTTTTCTTTTTAACTCCTTTTTAGTTTTTTCTTCTTCTGAGGAGTATGAGGTGGGTTTTTTTTACATGTCACATGTGCCCTTTGTTTTGGCCTTTGCTTCGTGTCCATATTTCGCCGTCACATTTGACCGCATATCACTGTGTCCTCCAGTACGCATACATCTACTATTCTCCTACCACGCCAGTGCGTAAAATAACGGTGCATTTGTCTTGACACGGCCTTTTGTGAGAGAGTATGGAGTTATCAAGTATCACCTATACTGGGACATCAGCTCGGACTAGATATCTCAATGAATGTGGGCTGATCACTTTGCCCTGGGATAAAAGAGATCGAAATATTATGCCCTAGATGTTCACACCCTTGAAGATAGCGCTCAGGACAATGGGTATTACAGAGAATTGTGCCCCCCAATTCACTCCGTCGGTCTCTTTGGGAGTGAACGCTGGAACTATGGGTGAGGTGTTATATGTATGCACAATTAAATCCAGGCATTCGCTGGTTTTAAGGTATGTGAAATAGGCGTCGCCAGTCATGTAGGACTAAAAATGAACTATATAGTATTGACTGCGGTGCAGGTTCTCAAAACACGCTGCAGGAAGGGTCTTTTCATAAGTGGTAAAATGACAAGATCGAACGGCACCAAGTAAGCCTGACCAAGTTGGTGACTCTAGGCCTCATGACTCAATCCCCAGGTACAGTAACATTATTTGATGTTATGAATTTCTTGCTATAGCTGGGCATGGGGAATAGTTTATCTCTGTCACGCTGGGTAATACCACACCATACATAAAGTAGAACAGAGATAAGCAGAGGGAGCTTCGTGGTCGTGAAATATAAATGCCGAGGTCAGTACATCGTTCTCGCTATGATAGATATCTCCATGTAAACTCAAACATACCGACTCCCATGATGAGCTGGCGGCAATTGAAGATTAGAAGTTTCTGGACTAAACCATGATCTAGTGGCGTCGAGCAAAGCCATGCAGCCAATAGGAGATGGATTTTGATAGCACCGATCTAGTAGTATCTTCAAAGTATGTTCAGTACTTATTTAACGATGAATAACTCTTATTGAAGCTAGAGTTATGTCACTATCCGGGAAGTTTGTTTAGGTGTTTTAGAGTGATAATCGTTAGGTCAAGGGGGAACTTCCAGTAGGATTTATTATACGAAATTTATACCACACTGAGCTAGTAATGTTCTAGACCACTGTCGGTTTTGTGTCTTGGGTGTCTTGTACTTGCTCAATTTACACCGTTGCTAGCTTGTTACCTGGGTATAACGTACTTAGAACAACTTGAAGACAAAACTAGCACTCCACGTGGTATGGGATATCACCTATCTCCTTGGTCTTTATACCGTCCAGACAGCACAAAAATCACTATATGTATTCGCTTGAGATGAGCCTTGCAAGATAGACTCTGTAAGCGTGAGATGGCCCTAAGAGGCAGGTGGTTTCTACTCAAGAGAAACATACTGCTATATAATGCTACATATCACCTGGTTTTGTATGCAGGGTAGCCTTCATCTACGGTGGAGAGACTCCTGATAGGTACAGTATTATTAGTACATACCCTGTACCCTTGGCCAGAATTCAATGTGGCCTAAGCGGGGCCGCAGCTTGGGATGACCGCGCCGGTTTTTCCGTGTTATGTCCAGGCCAACTCTCCATTTGCTTCCACTACCTACACCACTGCTCTGCATTTGAAAGTGTTGTCGTCTTTCATTTCCAATGCCTTCCCTGTCCTCCTCCATCCTTTGATTGTTCTCGTGGCTCCTTCTCTTTTTCTCCACACTCGGTCCTTTCTTTCCCTCCCCTTTCTTCAATCCACCGCAATTGATTCACTTTTCCACTAGAACTGTAGACCCGGCCTCCCCATTACCTCGCGTCCACGAAACTCCATATTATGCTATCGGATATGAAATTGTCTTTTTCTTGAACTTAATTGCATTCGTTGAATATTTCCTTCGTTCAACCACCTTTTTCTTCTTTTTCTTCCTTCCCCTTGCTCCTTTTATCACTCCATCTTTGGCAATACCTCGAGTCTTCCGTCCAGATATATGCCACCTACTCCCTTTATAACCAAACCAGAAACTTACAGGAAAGGATCCTCCACTATGGCGGAAATGGACTCTGCATCAAGTACCGGGGTCAATTTAGCTTCTGATATGCGGCGCCGAAATGTCCCGCATGCTGAGGGGCCTAGAAGGAAGCCCGATGGCACGAAGGAAAGCAATACCCAGTCCAAGCTCAAAGTATGTTTCCTTTCAATCCTAGCGCCCTAAAGATACATTGTCCAAAGACTAACGCTAGTCGGGCTGGTGTGTAGTCCAATCCATCAGTTTCCGTTCTGGATGATTGGGAACCTCTGATAATGCCCATTCTGTTGACGGCTGCAGCTATCTTTACTCGCATGTACCGAATTGGTCGCTCCAATATTGTGACTTGGGATGAAGCGCAGTAAGAGAAACATAACCCCTAATGAATCATGCCCTGTTGGCCCAGTCTCTTACCCCTAGGTTTAGCTTTGGCAAGTTTGGATCACATTACTTGAAACGCGAGTTCTACTTCGACGTACACCCCCCTCTGGGGAAAATGCTTGTCGGTTTGTCAGGATATCTTGCCGGTTACAACGGGTCGTTCGAATTTAAATCTGGAGAGAAATATCCGGAAGAAGTCAATTATACTTTCATGCGCGTCTTCAACGCTGCGTTCGGCGTCGTGTGCGTGCCACTTGCTTATTATACAGCACGAGAGCTTGGCTTCCGCAGAGCTACTATCTGGCTCGTGAGTTTGATGGTGCTACTTGAAAACTCTTACGCAACCATCTCAAGGTTTATATTACTGGATTCCATGCTCCTCTGTTTCACGTTCACCACTACCCTGTGTTGGGCAAAGTTTCATCGACTACAGCATGCGAGTTTCTCGATTAAGTGGTTTGTCTGGCTGTTCCTGACCGGGATAAGTATTGGTTGTGTGTGCAGTGTGAAATGGGTTGGTTTCTTTTGCACAGCGCTTGTAGGCCTCTATACGATCGAGGATCTCTGGAACAAATTTGGCGATCTAAAGATGACAGAGGTCAGTTATGGAAGGGACCCATGTCTCGAATCTATTGCTAAGCCCACTAGCAGGTCGTCCTTGCCAAGCATCTCATGGCTCGTGTGGTGGGGCTGATCATTATACCCGTTTTGGTTTATGTATTTTCATTCTACCTGCATTTCTTGGTTCTGGAAAATAGTGGACCGGGCGACGCCCAAATGAGTTCACTTTTCCAGGCCAATCTGAGAGGAACCGAGGTCGGGAAAGATAGCCCCCTGGAAATTGCTCTCGGCTCTAGAGTCACACTGAAGAACATGGGTTACGGCGGCGGACTTCTCCATTCGCATATCCAGACATACCCCGAGGGATCCACCCAGCAACAGGTTACCTGTTATCACCACAAGGACGCCAACAACGACTGGTTCATCTACCCCAACCGCCGCGAGCCAGAGTATGATCCGAGTGCGCCTCTAAAGTTTGTAGGTGATGGTGATGTCATTCGTCTTATTCATGGACAGACAGGCCGGAATTTGCACTCTCATGCTATTTCTGCACCAGTTACCAAGTCACACTACGAAGTCTCATGCTACGGCAATGTCACTATCGGTGATGATAAAGATCATTGGCTGGTTGAGGTTGTTGATGATGTTGCATCGAAGGATAGAAGTAAAATCCGTACTCTTACCTCTGCCTTCCGCCTGCGACATCCTGTTCTGGGTTGTTATTTACGAGCAGGCAATGTCAATCTCCCCCAGTGGGGCTTCAAGCAGATTGAAACTACATGCGTGAAGGAGAACAAACCGAGCGATGTTTACACACACTGGAATGTTGAGTCTCATTTTAACGACCGACGTAAGCTTCAATTTTAAGCCCTATGCCATTACAAAGGAAAGGCTATTGACTATTTCTTATACAGTTCCACCGGGAGATCCAGGATCCTACAAGTCGCCTTTCTTGAAAGACTTTATCCATTTGAATGTCGCTATGATGACATCTAACAATGCGTTGGTTCCCGACCCCGATAAACAGGATGATCTCGCTTCGAAATTTTGGCAGTGGCCTATACTTAATGTTGGGCTCCGGATGTGCTCTTGGGACGACAATACTATCAAATACTATCTCCTTGGCAACCCATTCGTTTACTGGGGAAGTACATTTAGCCTTGGCGTCTTTGGGCTCTTGGTACTTTGGTACCTCGTGCGTTGGCAGCGAGGTTACAATGAGCTTTCCCAGGCTGACATCAACCATATCCATTATTCTGGCTTGTACCCAATCATTGGATGGATTCTGCATTATCTGCCCTTCATTGTCATGGGAAGAGTGACGTATGTTCATCATTACTACCCAGCATTATATTACGCCATTCTTACCTTTGGATTTTGCGTTGACTGGCTCACGCAAACGATGAATGTTAAACCCCGCTGGATGGTCTATTCTTTACTCTATGCTATCATAGTTGGAATGTTCGTGCATTTCCGCGTGATTGTGTTTGGCATTGAAGGTTCGAGTCAGCAGTGGGATCATTTGGATTGGCTGAGCGGCTGGCGCATCGCCAATTGAAACACCTTGACTCTTGTATCATTCCCTCTCTACTTTTCTTTCCTCCTTGTCTCCCTATTCTTTGTCTTACTTTCCTTCTTTATTATCGTCTTCCCGTTGTTTCCAGTCCCCCATGCTTCCATTGTGTTGCTATTAAATCACCTTCACTATGGTCTGTGTAGCATCTCATCGGCTATACCGGCGATGTCAATGAAGTCTAATTCACTCCGTCAAATCTAGAAGGACTTTTTCTCTTTATTGGTAGTTCCCAGGATATTTCCAACCCTCCTAAAGCCTAGTTCGAGCATTGATGACTGTCTTAGAAAGAGTAATCTAGTGAACTTGTCGCTGCTCTCAGGTAGCATTGCACAATCAGGATTATTGCAGTTGTGGACGTAATCTACTCAACAACAGTTTCCAGCCCATCCATTTCCGCCCCTGCGCATTGCATCGTTCAAGCCTAGGGTAACAGTTGTCGGCACATTAGTGCTCCCCCCACCAGTAGCGCCGAAGCCCTTCACTCCGCTTCGGCGGTCATTTAAATCGTACCTGCCCGCCTCGATATTTCGATAAATTCTCTCGGCGACCTCAAGAAACGCACGCTCGACGCCGTCACCGGACTTTGCACTGGTCTCAACGTAGCGTACGACGTTGTTCATACGGCACCACTCTTCCGCCTCCCGCCTCGTAACATGCTTCTCACTCCGTTCCGGATCATTACCGGTCAGATCACTTTTGTTACCGACGAGAATAACTACAATTCCTTCTTCCGCAATTTGCCGCAAATCCTGCAACCACTGTGTGCATGAAGTAAACGTAGATGGTCTCGTTATGTCGAACACAAGCAGAGCACCAGAGGCACCACGAAAATATGACCGTGTGATGGATTTGTACGTTTCCTGCCCTGCTGTATCCCACAGTGATAACTTCATCTTTTTCTGAGACTCGGCTATTTTTCGTGGAGGGTTAGGTAAACCAGAGACGATAGGCTCCTCTGAGGTATCTGAAGCTACCGGTGACGAAAAGGAACGGTTGCGACGGTTGGTGCTTGATTCTATATTTAGGGTTTTTGAACTAGGTGGTCCAACTGGAACAATGCGCGACCCAAACTCCACACCAATAGTCACATCGTGGGAAGATGCAAAGCGTCCTTCGCAAAGCCGAATAGTCAACTATAGCAATGGTTAGCATGATTGAGCTACGGCATTCAAAGAGCGATCAGACACTTACGCTGGACTTTCCAGTTCCAGAGTCACCAATACAGACAAGCTTAGCGATGTAATCCCATGGCTGTGACATGGATACAGCGGACTCTAGGTTTGAAGATAGTTGATTTCTGATTAACTACTATCCGCCAGCTCAGGTATTTGAGAGACTCATGCTCCGAAAACCGTCGCCGCAAAACACCCGAGACAGAGCTTAGAGCAAGTAAACCGCTTAAATGGCACTAGAGACTATAAAACAAATCGTCCTAGTCCGCACTAATGGGTCATATGAGAATTGCCTAAGGCGGTCTTTTAACACACCGGCGGAAGCGGGCTTTTCAGAGCTCTCCTGTAAAGTCTAGGGCGGCGGCCTTCGTGCACGTGATTAGATGGACACAGCACCCTTTACCGACCTTTTACGCTAGGACTCTTGCTCTTCATGCATAATATACGATATTCGATTATGACTCGGAAAAACTAATCTGATAATGTATTTTTTTTTCCTTCATTTTTTTGTTCTTCCCTTCCAAAGCTGTTCGATTCCATATAATATCATCGGAAAACAGTGAGCTGCCATGCTACGATATCTTGTTAGGATCCATACATAACCTCACCATGTGATAAATAATAAATGGGTCGCCAGCAGAGATTTGCGAGATGAAAAGATATGATTTGCCAAGAACTGTGGATCAGCTGTGTGGGTCCTCACATTATACTTAGTACGTAGACTAGTACATAGTAGATCCGTGAATGGGGTATCCGGAGTAGATACTACACTACTGTATCTACGGAGTAGAGCACTTCGGGTACAAGCCAGACAACGGTTAGTTAAAAGGTTCCTTCCGGAACCATGGTGTTAGGGTGTTTGTTAGGTTAGGTTAGGTTAGAGTGGAGACGCTTCCGAAAGCTGAGTCATCTATCACCATGACCTTGCCTTATGACGCTTGCACCCTCTTCACTACTCGTTCACTTTACGCCTTACAGATGCTCTCATTCCTGCCTTCTGTTTCACCTTACGTTCTCTGAGCAAGTTACTATCAGATAAATAGTTTTCCAGATGTTCTCCTTGCCAGCCTCCACGTACCACTGGCTCTGAAACTATCACTAAATCTATTGGAGCTCACCGCTTCCATATCGCACTTTCGAACGAGCAACATTCAAGGCCGTCGAGGAGCAGCAACTGCTTTGTACCGCAAAGTGGCCTTCTACCGGGAGTTAGTTAGAGATGTTCTCGGAATGTATGTGTTATATAAAGTTATGGAGCTTTCACTGTCTACACCTAGTTCCCTGGCCGTTCACTGGACCGACGTCGCTCACCATCACACAGATGCCTCTCGCTTCCTTGCCCAGTCACAATCACGACTACTTCCTCACTCTGATGAAACACGCAGGAAAGGTCATGGACGACTGATGCAGCAACCGGGAAGCTCCCGCTTTCCATCCTCACGTTCCTTTTTGCAAAGAGCAACCCTTGACCCATATCAACCAGCGGCATCTCAAATTTCTAACCTTCCTCTTGGGTCTCGAAACCTGGCCCAGCATGCGCCTCTTTTCTACAGTGCTACTGATGATTTTTGTGAAGAGGATGATGAAGCAGAGCATGAGCGTGAGATCGCGGACTTCTATGCCCTCCAGAAATCAAGGCGAGATTTCGGCAGTAGTCATCTGAAAGCTTCTTCGGAGATCGATGAAGATGATGACTATTCAAATAGCGTTGAGGACTCTGGAAAATCTAGATATGGAATATACAGCAGGGCGCAAGGCATCAGAAGCTCCTGGCGTGCTGGGACGTCCTCCCACGGAGAGCGAGACACGATTGCTGAGACCGTACCCGAGGCTGTTGAGGTCGAAGATGGACCACCTATGGACAAATATAATACCAGAGCTAGGGAGAACCTAGTTGACGTTCATCTCGAAGATAGCCTGCGATCTGCGTCGGATGGTGATAGAGCTGATTCTTCAGAGGCAGGTGACGATAATCCTCCCTCAATACAACGATTTCGGGGTGAGTCTCTATCACGGAAGGGCAATTTCGGCATAGATTCATTTTTCATGCCCATGGGAACGGACAGGCAACCGTTGATAAACGGTCCCCGCCAACTAAGTCCCACGAACCCTGTTCAGGCCTCTTTTTCCCCAGTAAGACCCGAATCGCCTGTGCACGATGTCTTTTGGGGCCAACTCTTTTTAATATCCATCGCTTGTCTTTTCGCTACTTCTTTCCTTGTCTACCTCCATACTTCCACACCTTCGGGGGACAAATCGAAGTGGGGCGACACGATATACTTGACTATTCATTCCTCGTTTTATCTGCTTGGTTTCTATACTGTTGCCTCGGTTTTCGTCTCACTGCTTTGGCTTGCACTACTGCGGTCCTACATACGTCAACTCGTATACGTTATCATTTTCGCTGTTCCAGTGATCTTATATTCCTTCTCTCTTTATCCATTTGTTTCAAGCTTCAAAGGCACCTGGCATGGAACAAGCATACAGGATAAAGTAATGAGATGGGGATCAATTGCCCCGTTCATTATAGCTAGCGTGTGGATATACAATGTAATTCGGGGCCGTCATGCTATAGGCAAAGCGATCAGAATTCTCGAATTTGCATGTCGGATCCTCGCCTCAAACCCGGAACTACTGATCCTTGGTCTTGGTATTCTCGCCTTCATCGTTTCATGGACATGGTTGTGGATACTTATGTTCACGCGGGTATTCCTAGGAGGAAACATAACGGGACCGGGTCGTTTCATCGTCAGTTTCAGTAGTTGGTGGCTCGGGGTCTATTTCATTCTTGTTTATGCCTGGTCACTGGGAGTCATCGCTGGCATTCAGCGTGCAGTTACGGCTGCTACAGTGAGCCAGTGGTACTTTCACCGACTCACTTCCCCTGCCCCGACTTCAAGACAGATTGTTTGGGCAGCAATTGTTCACTCACTCACAGCTTTATTTGGCACGATTTGTTTGTCCAGATTAAGTGCACTCCTTGTTCGACTTCCTCTTCTCTTACTTCCGAGTCGTGCCACCTCTGTTTTGAGCTTGTTCGCTTACTCCGTTGTGCCCACTCCAGTCACAACACTCACAGATCCTCTTGCACTCACTTATGCTTCAATACATTCACAGCCGCTGGTGGTATCTGCTCGAAGTCTTGCCCGGATGACAACTCTTTCGCCCACCATAATTAATTCCTCACTTCATCCTCGGTTCTATTCACGATCACATGAAAGCATGACACCTCTTCTTTCCTATCGACTTTCAAAATTGATCCTCCACGCTGCCCGACTCATGATGTCTCTGGGTCTTGGGTTTGGGGGTTGGGTGACTACTGCTCGTGACCTAGGTGTGTCGAGCGGTAGCGGTGTTATTAGAGGCAGCGTATATGCTTATGTTGTCGGGCTAATTGCGGGGACGATTGGCTGGAGTGTACTGGGAGCAATAGAGCGTGTAATAGCCGATATTGTAGATGCCTCCGTCATCTGTTGGAGCAGCGAGGTTGGCGCGTATGGTAGAGAAGCTAGGTATTGTCGGGAAGCTGGCTGGCTCTTTGGCGAGGGATCAAATTTGGACTCAAGCTTTACACGTCATCGAGAGGCAACTTGATTGTCTGAATGGTTGTACTCATTACATAGCATTAGCACAATGCTAGGTGGGTGCTGTTCTTAGCCCTCGGCGCAAACTTGTCTCATTTCCCCCCCTTCGCCTCCTTCTTTTCAAACGGCCATAGATTGTTTTAGCCTGGGAAAGCCATGATTCCGGTTTAACTAAAGGTTTTAGCGTTTCAAGTATCGAAAAGAGCGTCTATTTGGATGTATTAGCAGTGGAGTTTCTGGGAAAAGCGAGAGATATGCAGATCGGTGCATCGTGGATCTAGATCTCGACGAGTCTTATAGTACTTGGCTATGGCCTTCCTATTTACTTGCAACTCATCGGTATTACAGCAGATACATACATGGAACAGCGAGGATTTGGGATATAGACACTAAATTTGATTGCTGCATAATGTAGTTTGCCTACATGATAGTGGAAGTTATGGATGATTTAAATAAATAATTTAGTGACGAGCATTGCTCATCTCGTATACCAATGTAGAGTAGAAGCCATTATTACTGAAAAAAAGATCATGACCGATAGAATCAACACTACTTTATGGACTGCAGAACCATATCCGTAAGAACCAGACAAAACTATATATGGCCTCTATGACAAAGGGATATAACCCATGGTATCATGCTATAATAACAGGTAGAAGTAGACTTTTGTACGCGACTTCCTCTCCAAATCCAATGACGCCAACGCAAACCGCTGGAAGAAACAGGACAACTAACAGATAATGATGAAAATTCGAAATGTGCAGAAAACGATTGTGCGATGAGAAGGTGGAGATTTATAAACAAAGCCGGCCATTCCATTCCACACCTTCCTTTTTGCACCACTCTCTTAGTATTGAGTAACCAAATCGGACAGTTTCTACTGGTGTGGTCATTCTTCCTAAAGGCAGGAAAAACTCACCAGAATAGTCACCAGGCTTGAGCCGTTGCTTCCCTTGTTCTGAAAAGTTCCTAGACCGCCTGGACCAAGTATCAGGAAATTCATGAACAAGAACGTCTTCTGAAAGTCCCTGTGAGCCTTCAAGCCATAGCCTCTGGGACTCTTTGTAGCATTCAGGCAGTCGACTCTTTAGCTCTAGTATTTCCCTTCGGTTCTTTTTGCTTTCATCGGATACAACAGTATTTCCATCACTACCGGGTGTCGGCACAGGGGTGTTTTCCCCTGGCAGAGGAGTGACCGCAAACCGCTCCAGATCAAGCGCATGGATAGCATCATAGGATGTAGCACCAAGAATCAAACAAAGGCTATGAAGCTGTGGAAAGGGGGCGCTATTTTTTTTTACCACACGCCAATAAGCGAGTATAGATAGCCAAGACGATGAGTCGCTAATCTGACGAGACAAAGTTTTGGATTGATCGTCAGCAACAAAGGCTAGAATAAAACAGAGAATAGCTTCAATAGCAGTAGCAGCCGCAAGCTTCTCATCAACATCAGTCACGAAATCTCTGGTGGTATGTCGTTCCGCGGCATGTTTTAATTCCCGCCCTAAATTCCCGTACTTTTGATATTCATCCTTCCAAGCTCGGCGCTCACCATTGCGTGACGCGTTTGACTGAAGGTTCACTTGTGACAGTGATTGTTTTACACCAGTGGCCGCATCGCCTGGTTGATATCTGATTGTCGGCTGAGAGAGCGTTCTACCATCGTTATCAACATTCTCCGAACGATAAGTTAAGTCTTTGGGATCTTTAACAGGCGTAACAGAGGCTTGTTTTGTTTTCTCCTGGTTGTGTGTTATCGCACTAAGGGTAGAAGACACTGGGGTTCGAGGTTTTTCAGAGCCCGCATTCCTAGGTGTTTGGATGCTCGGAACATGCCTTGCTTTCCCCTCAGGCCGGTATATTCTAGAGTTGGAGTTGTCCGAGGCCGTAGTCTTTGTAATAGTTTCGTTGGACCTCTTAATCAGGGTGGAATCGGGGTCAGCTATATTCTTTGCAGGTGAGCCTGGAGGCGCCATTTTCCTTTTCCCTGAAAATTTAAGGAGAGCTTCAACACGCTTTCTATTTGCTCTGCCATACTTGAGTTTCATCAGCAATTGCGGTTTCGCTGATTTCTCATGGCTGTTGGGCTTGTCATCTATTTGATACCGTAAGTTGGAGGTAGGAGTTTCGCAGAAGGAAGAAGCCACAGAGCCTTGAGTAGTAGATGGACGCTTATCAGCGACTGAATTTGGGTGTTTGCTTCGCAAACTCTGACGGCCAACCACAGAGATCGAATCTATGCTGGATGTGCCGATATCAGAGGACTTTGCTTTCTGAGTCTTGCCTTTCAACGCATCACCATTGGGAGCGTTTTTCGTCCGCGTAGGATCTGAGACAAGCGTCTCCTCACCAAGTCTAGCGAGCTCTTTCTCTATGTTTGGAGGGAGGGTGGGTGATAAGAGCCTGGGAAGTTTAGGGCTGCTTGAAGTTGGCGGAAGGGTAGGTGACAAGAGAGTTGGGAGGCCATTAGCTTTTGAGCGCCCAGGCTTATTGAACTCTGCTTCTGCTGCTTCGGCGGAGAGTTTCGGTTTCTTTAAGACTCCAATTTCGACACCCTTCCTTTCCTGCAGCCTGGAGTTCTCCGCTTCAGATTCAGCGGGCCGCTTGCGTTCCAGGGCTTCAGAACCAGCTCGAATAGAAATACGTGAAGCCGTAATTTTATCAGAGGACTTCTGCAAATTGCTTCCAGCAGGGCCGACTTTGGGAGCTCTTTGGCTGTCATCAATTACATAGTCCATTGAGAGATGGTGGCTAGAAGCTTCCTGGCCAACGGGCGAGGCTGAAGCGCCTGTCTTTCTTTTGTTTCTATAGTCGTTCAAACTAATCTTTTTCTTGACTGGCCCGCTCAATGGAGTGCCTGCTGCACCCTGGAGTCCAGATTGCTGGTCGGACATGACGTTTCCAGTCCCGTCTGACCAATCACCAACAGCCACCAGTAACGAGTCCCCTTCGTGATGTGTTAAGAAGGTCATATACTGAAGTTGATGCTCTTCTGGTGCAAATGGACCGTCATTACCCACAGCCCAATTATTGACGAAGCGACTCCCAAGGCGGAAAGGCACATCGGTAGGCACAGTTAGGAGAAAAGGATAAAGAGGAAGAACGTCTTCCTTGAGACGTTTCAGTCGCTGATCGATCGGATACTGTTCCGATGTATATGCCAGTTCACTGGGAAGTTTGGTAGTTCTTATATCATCGTCCGTGGCGCGAGAGGGCCGGTTCACCGACATTGCACTCCGTTGACTAGATGAGTATGAATGATTGACAACCGTTTAAAATGATATTATGGCAGTCGGATGTTTGAATATGCTATCTCGGTGCTCCCGTCTTTTTCGAGTCCAAGTCACTTGGACTCATGCGGTTTCGTTGTACGATAATCCGACGTGAAAAAAATAGGCAAGAGCATCACAACGATCGCCTTGTAAATTAGCTAAACCCGTGCTCTCTCTACTAGGTCAGTAATCAAGAAACCTTATACGTACAGACATGAGATCGACACGGCTCAATTTAGCTTGCTTTCCAGCTCCGTGTCACACCGCTTAGGTCTTTCAAGGAAACCCTGGCAACTGAATATACGTTCGCCGAAGCCAATCAATAACACGAAACAAACAAGGGTGATAGTCAGAGCGTACAGTCCAAGGCCGCTGGCCCATATCACTTTTTTCTATGAATGCAGGCAATGAGCGGAACCTTTCCAGCTGGAGACGGGCGGTTGTTGAGCTTCTGGTCTTCACGAGAAAGAGAACTGACGATTGACAGACGACCGATGCCAGAACGAGGCCATATGGACGGAGGGCCTTCCGTTCACTGGATGAAGACTATGCGTGGCACCCAAATGAGCTATAATGAATGGGGCAAAGTAGTAGAGGCAAAGAAGAGGAGGGGAAGATGGTAATTAAGAAAGGGGGGTGGGCGACGACAAAGGTGGGCAGAAATATAGAGAGCAACACTTCCTCATGAAGATAATTGTAATTGTTAGGGAAGGTAAACTATTCGGACTGCAGCCGAAGCGGAGACGCTTGGCAGTAAGCACACTATCAAAACCTTACTTTTTCTATCTGCTGTTTAGTATGTAATCAAGACTTCTTGAGATGTGCCTGACCTGGATACAAACAGGGACCCTTACTTCCTATGTGTTTAAATTCATAGTGTGCTCCCTGTAACTATACAAAGCTATATATTGGGTTTCTTACCCAGCCAATGCCTTTTGTGTCCACTTTTGGTATTTGAATGTTGGGGGGAGGGTAATGGGAATAACGAGAAAAGGCACCCGAGCTACTTTCTTCCCTTTTCTTCCTGCTCGCTAAATAAATAGAGTACAAGTTGCACGCAGCACAAAACGTTGCTAGTGGCTGGTTGTCGGAGTTCAAATGCTGTCGTTTAGGTTATGGCCAACCATCAACTTGGGATTTGCCTTTCGAGAAAGCTTTAGCTTCTGATGCTCCTGTTCGCCAGATGTAGGTATACCGCCTACCCCCAGCCTCGATTGGGAGATCAGAGCACGCGGATAGGTGGTGAGGCAGAGCTCTTCGCTCCTTGTAATTTTGCAGACACTGCCACAATCTTTGGAGCATACTCTTCTTAGCCAAGCTGGACAATACCCAAACTCATCGAGTGGATAACTTCCTGAGTGATGGAGGTCAATGGTCCACAACTCACTGTTCATATTCCCTGCGTTCATGAGAGGGGAAAAGTTTGCCATGTTGTAGGTACAGATATATTTGATTTACTTAAGTTGGAAGGTATAATTTCTAGCCGTTTTCTAAATGTCATCAAGGTAACTCTGTAAGTAGACACTCCTATCGAACGCGACTCCCCTGCGGCTTTGACCTCTTCCTTGATAGCCCCTGTAGGCCATTGTTAGCTCTGGCCAAGGAAGTCAACTGCAAGAGGCACCCGTCAAAAGAAAATCATGAAAATGTTTAAATCTACAGACTGCTAACAGTTCACCTGGAGCTTTTCCAGACTTGCGTTGGTCACTCTTTGGACATGTGTGGTATGAATTATGGCATTGGTCAGCACGAACAGATTCTCTCGTTCTATACCACTTTTCGTGATAACATGGCTATATTTCTTGCTCTGTAGCATATATCCCAGCTCCATAAACATGACAGTATCCAGGTTTGACGGCATACTTTATTGCATCAAGTTCACAGTTGACAGGCGGGCTCCACCATGGAGTGCCTATGCCATAACCCAGCTATGGGTAATAGGGAGATTCCGTCAATCATTAAGCTAGGAGGCCAGGAAACGTCAGTGCCCTGGACAGTTTCCAAAAGAGGAACAAGACCTCCATTGTTAGGAATAAGTTCGATGGTGTGTTAGCCAATACTCATTTCAGGTACTAGTACTCCGTAAACGTGTTGCAATTACAGAAAATGGAAGAAAAAGAAGGCTCTCCCATCCTTGAGTGACGCCACTCTGTAAAGGGAGCCAAATCATTATTATCCATAGCTAGTCAGTTTCATAGTCATTTACCTTCCTTGAGGACTTTGGCATTTGTAGGATTGCTATATATGCAATATTGGTAGTTAACGTAACTGGTAAACGAGCTGCCACTGTAAGCGGCCCGCCCTCTTCTGTTTTCCATAGTAAACAGCCTATTTTTAGGCAATAATATCTCAACCAATTCAGTTTATCTCTACTTGAAAATTAAAATATAACTTATTATGCAGTAGAATAATTATATATAAACAGTATAAATCTTTTTAGATACTTACTACTAAGCTAAGGTAGAATATACTATATTTTATAGTATATAGTAAGTGTGATTCCCACTAGGAGTCACCTAACCCGCTCGACCAAAAGGCTCACAATTGAATCCTGAACAAGGATTCAATCGGTTAGGTGATATATATATAGGGTGGTTACTACCCAGAACCACATAAGGATATATATATTCCAGGGCTCTTTTTTACTTAAGTTTAATTTATATATAAGAAATATAATAATATTAGTACAATACCTTGATTGTAAACTGATATATCTAATAATGGTTGAGAATCTTGAGATATTATTGCTTAAAAATAGGCTGTTTACTATGGAAAACAGAAGAGGGCGGGCCGCTTACAGTGGCGGCTCGTTTACCAGTTACGTTAAGGCACTATTAAATATTCATTCCCACCTGAAGGCGTGTGTCGTTGCTGATCATAATCATCTTTACTCATCGCCTCCCACTAGTATGTTACGTTTTGATCATATGACCTACTGTTGGGGGGGAAACTCCAGTCCTAGTCACGGAGCGCAAATGATGTCACACCTCCGCTTTTAGCTTACGAGTATACTATTCCGATACCCGTCTTCTCCGCAATCATACTCCGTACAGAAGAGCGAATTATTCTCTGCGGTCATTACAACTTAGCGTTATACTAGGCGGCTTCTCTCATTCTTCACACCGCCTCATCCATTGCCTTGTGAGAGGTCCTCATGGTTCTTGCTACGCCACGTCTCTTCCTAAGCCGCCATCGTCATTATATGTCTTTTTGCAATACTCTGCACCAGACACGAACTGTCCGGAATCGATTGGGACAGATGGCTACGCAACTCTCGGACCCTGCAAAGGGGTTTTCGTTGGAGGACCTCCCAAAATCCAATATTTTCACTACCAAACTGCCGCCAGACCCTGCTTTCGAGACTCCCAAGATCTCCCATGGAGCTCCGAGGGAAGCTCTCGGTCCGCGCTTGGTGAAAGGCGCCTTATACACCTTTGTTCGCCCCGAGCCGGCTAATGAGACGGAGCTTCTAGATGTCAGCCCCAAAGCAATGGCGGACTTGGGATTAAAGTCAGGAGAAGAGCTTACACCTCAGTTTAAAGCGGTAGTGTCTGGGAATCACTTTTTTTGGACTGAGGAGAACGGAGGCATCTACCCATGGGCGCAATGCTATGGAGGTAATGTAGACCTTTCAATAGACTCACACGCTGGCCGCGGTTAGTTAACGATGCGAAGGATGGCAATTGTATGTTGTCTTTGTACCTATACTACGATGCGGAAGTTGACAGGATACAGCGGCTCATGGGCTGGGCAGCTTGGGGATGGGGTAAGCTTTGTTTCCTGACCTTACCTCTGACCTGGATTGACCTCAAGTAGCGTGCTATCAGCTTATTCGAGAGCACCAACCCCAATACGTGCATTCGATATGAATTGCAGCTCAAAGGAGCTGGGAGGACACCATACTCACGTTTTGCAGATGGAAAATCAGTCCTTCGATCTAGCATCCGCGAGTATGTTGTGTCGGAAGGTACCAAACCAACAGCCGCGTAATACTACCGGTCTAGCTAACGACGAGCATAGCGCTCTCTGCACTTGGTGTGCCAACTACCAGAGCCTTGTCGATCACTCTACTGCCCGAGTCCAAAGTTTTACGCGAGCGTATTGAACCTGGAGCTATAGTGGCCCGGTTTGCCGAATCCTGGCTGAGAATAGGAACATTCGACCTTCTCCGCGCACGCGGTGACAGGGATCTAATCAGAAGACTAGCTACATATGTTGCCGAAGATGTATTTCACGGCTGGGAAGCTCTACCGGCTGCAGTACCTCTAGGTGAAGATCAGCCCACCGATGCCGTTAATAATCCAGCAAGAGGCGTGCCGTGGGACGTGGTTCAAAAACACGAAGGAGTCGAAGAAAATCGGTTTGCAAGGCTATATAGAGAGGTTGCACGACGAAATGCGAAGACTGTGGCTGCGTGGCAATCATATGGCTTCATGAATGGCGTATTGAACACCGACAACACATCAATCTATGGCTTGTCGCTTGATTACGGCCCGTTCGCTTTCATGGACAACTTTGATCCTCAATACACACCAAACCACGATGACCATCTGTTAAGGTACTCGTATAAAAACCAGCCAACTATTATTTGGTGGAACTTGGTTAGACTTGGAGAATCCTTAGGAGAGCTCATTGGGGTAGGAGCTAAAGTTGATGAAGAGAGCTTTCTGAAAGAAGGAGTAACCGAAAATACCGCTCCAGCTATCGTCAAACTTGCAGAACAAATTATTGAAAGGACGGGTGAAGAGTTCAGGACTGTATTTTTGAATGAATACAAGCGGCTAATGGGCGGAAGACTAGGACTAAAGACTCAGAAAGAGTCAGATTTTCAGGACCTCTTTTCAGAAATGCTTGACACATTGGAGGCTTTAGAGCTGGACTTCAACCATTTTTTCCTGCGGCTTTCTCATGTACCGCTCAGCGCCCTCGACACCGAAGAAAAACGGAAAGAAGCTGCATCAATATTTTTCCATAATGAAGGATGTGGCGGGATCGGGTACACAGAAGATTCTGCAAAGGAGCGCATCGCAAATTGGCTCGAGCGCTGGAGACTGAGGATTCTTGAGGATTGGGGGCCCCATAGTGATGTGGAGCGACAGAAGGCTATGAAAACAGTGAATCCAAAGGTGAGTGAGTCTTGTAGTCCCTCAAGTTTAGTCAGATTACCTCTCTAACGGTGGCAATTCACTAGTTCTTGCCTCGCGGATGGATACTCGACGAAGTTATCGATCGAGTAGAACGTCAGGGAGATCGGGAGATCCTCGGCTGCGTAATGCAAATGGCCCTAAACCCCTTCCAAGAGGATTGGGGATGGAACAAAGAGGAGGAGGAACGCTTCTGTGGAGATGTTCCTCGATACAAGCGGGCCATGATGTGCAGCTGCAGCTCTTAGGTATTATAAGTCAACGGTCATCCAAATTATATTTTCGCTGTTCCGTGAACTGTAGTATATCTGTATATATTCTGATAGCGGTGTCCGAAGTGTAGGCAAGAATGTATTACATGCCAATGCACTTTGAATTCGGACTCATGCCATCAAATGCGGCGGACAAAGATTTCAGCCTCCGAATCGTCGTGCTCCCCCCATACGAATTTTAGAGAAACCTACAATTGAGCAAAAGGCCTAGAGGAGTCCCAGAAAGTCAAGAATACTCCCAGTAGTTGAGACATCAACTGAATCGATTTATTTTACTTGCTGCCATCCTCATTACACACAAAAGAAGCCTGCCACGTTTGTCGTCCTGCAACCTAGACCACTTGCCATATCACTGCCGACGTAATTTCTGTCCACGTCTTGGAAATCGAAGGCAAATATCACAGATACAATGTATTGGCACGCGAGTACTCATGAATATCATGCTCATGGTAGGGACGGGCAAAACCCACCAAGACCAGGGCTCTGAGCCAAGCCTTGATCTGGCTACACGAGAAAGCAGAAATATGAGAGTTCGAGTGGTTCGAAGAGCGCGTGCTCAGTCCATGAGAAAGCCTCTAAAGCCTCGTCTCGTGTATATACTGGCGCAGCAAATTAGACGAACAACCCAAATTGGTTTCTGACCTAATTAGGACAGGCAGCTTGAACGTGGCCTGGCTGCTTGCAGTTATAGCAAACCCGTTCACCCTTGGCTTCAGTGGGACAATCCCGCGAAACATGTCCAACTTCTCCACCTATATTTGAGGGGTCAGTACACACTCGCATAAGAGATAACGAAGAAAGGAGAGAATAGTAAGGATTCGAAAATGAAGACTAGAATGTGAAAGTCCCTCCCATTGGCGTAGATGTGACATATTGCATAACGCAGGGGAAAGCTTACAGTTGTAACACTTCTGACCATGGGTGCAGTCACGAGCCATGTGACCGAAGCCACCGCAAGAGTAGCAAGTCTGTTGACGGCCACCAAATCCACTCCCACCCTGAGAACAGTTCCTTGCAATGTGGCCCACGCGGCCGCACTTATAACATTCCTGACCACCGGTAGCACCACTGTAGCCATCTCCCGAGGCTGTCTGAGGACATTCACGGGAGATATGGCCAACGCCGCCGCAGCGGTAGCAGGACTTCTCCTTAGGCGCTACTGTGCATTCGCGGCCTAGCAGAGGGGAGGTCGTCAGATAAGTTGCGCTTATTACTGTACAGTATATTTCATAGTATCCACTTACTAACATGTCCCTGTCCTGCAATTGATTTTCAAACCGTTAGACAAGACGCAATGAATATTACCACGAGGAAGAGTGTTGGGATTGTAAAACCCGCTAATGAGGTGCAAATAAAGTATAAGCTGGCAGGATATAGCATACCGCCACAGTTGTAACTTTGATTATTCCATTAGTGAATGTAAACTATGACTAGAGGAAAGAGGAATAAACAATACCAAGTTGGGGTGCCCTTCTTGGGACAGTCACGGGCCTATGAGTCCAGGTCCGTGAGATTATGGTTTGATGAAAAGTGAATGATGAAATACATAATCAATGTCCTTTGCACTAGTGACCTGGGGAGAAATTACCTGATGGGAAGCATCGCCACCTGTTGTATAGAAGATGTTAGTTCAATTTCTTTAGTGACCTACGAGAGTGGCACCGATTTTCAGTTCCACACTTCTTGCGAGAAAAGATCAAACAGGCGCTAACTGAGTGAAATAAAAATCAAGCAAGACAGGCAATGTGAAGGAAGGGAAACCTTTCAGCGTGAATCGCAAGGCGAGGGCACAGAAGCTAGACACCAAAATTGGAGCGAGCGCCAGGAAAGCGAGGCCGCTAGAGTAGTAAAAACTCACAGTTGAAACATCCACGACCTCCGGTTTGGAAACTCATATTGATCGAATCTAGCAGATATTCTGGGTAGATTGAATGGTAGCGAAACTATTATTGAATGAGCAGAATTTTTTTTTCTTAAGAAAGGAGTAGGAAAGAGACCACAATAATAACGGTAGAGATTGATTGATTGATTGATGAGAAATTTAATGCAGATAATATGCCCAAGGCGGTGCGCGGGGACGAGAAATTGAATTTAATTTATTTAATCAAATTAAATTCGCTTGCCGTGCGGTTCCTGCAGAGCTCCCATCTTTTTAGTTAGACTGCAATTCTGTGGTACGAAACTTCTGCATTTAACCTTACCCTTTTGATTTCGTTATTATCCTTTACAAACCCTCTCTCCCTCGTCCTCTTTTGCTTATCCCATAAATCAAATGGAAAGGAAAAGCAGCAGAAAAGAAATCAACTGAATGATAAACAAGACTTAGTCGGAGGGTTGTATTTCACCGAAAGCAACCGGTGCTTTCATCTGAGGATCTCAAAAGTCCGGCCGTACTGGGGACAAGACCAAGGAATGTATGAAACGATCTTTTGAGTTGCATTCCATTTAACATTCATCATTCCCCGTAACGTGTCCAATTATCTTTAAAAGAAACAGAATGGTTGAGCGAAGGCCGTTGTCGCAGTGAGGAGGCTCTGGAGAGATGGCACGGGGAAAGCTTTACCAGCCCAAATCACCGGAGTGGTTTACTAAATATTTAAACGTAGTCTAAGAGAGGAACGTTTTTTTTGTCCCTATCTCCGCGGGGGCACTGCTAGTATATGATAGGGGCTCCTGTTCAATCTGAGCAATTCATGCAGTTAAATAATACACCCTCCCAAGGTTCTCAGATGAACACCTTGTGATTAATTAGAGCCAACCACTCTGCTTCAATCACTCCGGAGTATTATAGAAGTTTGGTTCATACCAGAGGAAATCTCTCTTTGATTCTTTCTGTTTTGGACGGTGTAAACCGTCCTGTTCTTTTAGCTCTACCCACTGAATCATGTGAAGTCATATAATTCTAGAAGTTGGTTTCCGATATTCCGTTCTCGTAGCAGAAGCACACGCTCATCATCAAATCCAATGCAGCCTCGTATCCCGTCCAATTCGTATGACCTTTCCAGAGAAGAGGACTGATCCCCACTGACCTCGCAACGAGAGACTCCTGATAATACACCGAAGTTCTCATACTTCCGACATTGCTTGTTCTCAGGGCTAACTTGGATGCTTTTTTCCTCTAATATCCTTTGCGTTCCGAAATAAGAGATCAATGGCTCGAGTTCCCATATTCGAATTTCATCACCACGAGAGCTAACAGATACTGCTTTACCGTGATCACCGACTTGTACGGCTGCAACCGACGTGGTGTGGCCCCAGAGTCTCTGGCCGCCTTTGACATGAAGATTTGTTGTTGTAGAAACAACAAGGTACACAGTCAAGGTGTTGTCTGCGTGAGAGGTCAAGAGGTACGGGTGCGAATAGGAGATCGAAGTTGGAGGCTGTCGATGTAAAATCGATGGCCCAGTAGGCCACTCATACAGATCACTGCTCAGTGAAAGTTGTTGCTCGTCTGATACCCGGCTAGAGGGGCGTAACGGTATCGCACCATATTGACAGTCCACTGTGGTTGTGAGTCGCGAGCTGATCTGCTGGCCGCCTCTATTGAAATGTAGTTCTTGTACCCCTATGGACCAACCACAACCGATGTGGTAAAAGCTGTACGCTATGGAAGCTATGATTTCTGAGCCTGCAACACGCACAGACAATGACATGGGCGCCAATATGCTTTCGGCTTTGAGTGTTGCAAGGATGTAGGCCTTCTCCATCAATTCGACGGGATTGTGGTCCGAGTTCTCATTGATAGTTTGGATACCAAATAACGATAGCACATTGCATTGGGATACCATTAAGATATACGGGAATGACAGAGCCATCCCTGTTATTGCCCGATCAGTGGAAGTAGTGTACGTGAGTCCCAACTTCAATCGTAAGGCTCTAATGTCCATGTTATACACACTAAAACAACCGCTTTTAAATCCGACAGCAATTCTGGCCACATTTTGCTGTGAACAGTAAGTTGCTTTTAATGACGTGGGTACTATAGATGCTTGTGTGGTGGCGTTCGTGAAAGGTACACTTGCTAAGCAAGAGTTTGTATTGTCCGCGTGCCAAACTCTAAGCCCATGAGCGGAATCTGCTACAAACACAAGCCCAGCACAAAATTGTACCAAGATTGGTGGTTGTGGAGATTGAGGCAACTCAACTGCGGTTACACGGCATATCCCCTTGGACCAATTGTGTCTAAGGCGATATTGTTTTTTCCAATTTGTATTGCTGCCTTCTCTTGCCAGATGACTGTGGTCAAGCCACGTAGATACTTTAGGCGAGTATTCAAGCCTCGAAAGTTGAGGGGTGGCACGTCTCACTCTCGGTAAGCGACGTGCTCGAGGTCGTACCCATCGAGAATAATACTGTCGCTTCCATAGCTCCGAGTCTCCGGCTAAAGTGTGGAAGCGACGGGACACTCTAAAGGGGAAGAAGTAGGTTAGATTTCTGCCAGATTGAGTCCCTACTGAGTAAGCATACCTCTGACATTTTAGCAAAGCGGGTATCGGTAGGTAAGATAGGATATGCAATAAAACTTCATCGCTTAAGAATGAGAGGTAGTCGCTAGTTTGGGATATACGCCGCCGTTTTGGCGATGGATAAGTCATGGTATCACCGTCATCACGTCTTTTCGACATGCTGCTAGCAGCTTTCTTTTTCATATAAAAATAATACAAAAAAATATGTATGGACTTAAGAAAAGTCACAAGAATGAAGACTCCTTGAAACTGTGTATTAAGGAGATGGTTTTGGACACCACGGAGTATGATGGGTGTCTGATAAGGACGCTTATCTAAAGGGCGATAAACGATAATTTCAAGACTAAAAACAGGCCAAGCCCAGAACCCGCCTAGGGTCACGGGTATGACGTCCTTTGAATAAGTACTGCCGCGCTCCCCAAGACTCCTGAAAATATGTATATCCATTACCTTTCATGGGACTACTCTCATTTACCATGGAAACTCTAAAGCAACTTCATGCCTCTGTGGCTCAGAGCTTCGAGAAATCTTTCGATGATGCATACAGCGATTTGACTGCTGTGCTTACCATTCGTGACAGAAAAGTCGCCGCGGCAGAAGAGAGACTCAGGGCTACGGAGGATGCCCGAAGTAAAGCCGTGGCCGAGATCGAGAGGCTGAATATTGAGGTTACCCATTTACGAGAAGAAATAAGCCGTAATGACATTGGCCTAGATGGTGCTGAAGTCTCTGTGAGCGAGTCTCAATTGGAGGAAGCATATGCGCCGCAGCGTGTTTTGAGTCTGTGTGATGACCACAATCTCTTGTCGCGGGAATATAGTGCTAAAGAGATGCGAATTGTCAATGGAAAATATGCTGCACTATATGGAGATGCACAAACACTCGCAAAGGCGTGTAAGGGTCTCAGACAACAGATCAAGCGGCATAAGAGAAAGCTGGAACACTGGAGCAAATGTCTCAAGCGGGATGAGTTTACACTGGTGCTGAATGGTGTCGCTGCCAAATTTCAACGTGTGAAGAACATCGCAAATGAAGACCATGATGGCTTTCCAACAGCAGAGTCGGTACCTGCAAATGGCATGTCAGTGCCGGTTAGTCACAATGCAGCAGACGGGGCTCCTGGGCTCTTGGGTTTACCTAGGCCTGAGCTGGGTGAAGTTTGTACGTCTGTCATTTGCGGCGAATATAGAATATCAGAGAACAACTTTGGACAGCCCCTGCAGACTGAACCCCCAGAAGTAATTTTGACACAGTCCGGTCTTCCTTTCAAGAACGAAGGTATCGATACATCAGCGAGGCAGAGTCACCCGGGATTGAAGAGGAAACGCGGGATTTTACCCGAATCTGGGGCATTAGCTCGTTATAGTGGCTTGAGGGAAAGGGAATCGAAACCGCCCATTACTATCAAAAGCGAAAGTATGCTCTCTAGTCCCGTGCGAAACATTTCCCAACACGTCGAAACAATTGAAACCCAAGATTTGGATGAAGTTGGCGGCACTGTCGAGACACCGACCAAAGAGATGGTCATTGATGCATATCAAAAATCCCAAACAGACCCTTCGACTATTCATTCGCCATCATCTCGAGAACCAGCGCCTCAGGATAATCACTGCCTAGCATCAGGCCACATGCTTCTTAATGGATCCACAGCACCTCAATCAGTGGATGACAATGCTAGCATTATGCATGGTTCTGCTCGATGGCCAGAAAAAAAGCCAGTAGTAATCCCGAGGGCGCCCAAGCATGCTATATCGTGCGTAGCTGAGGATGGTGAACAAATGTACCCCACAGCACATGCAGGAAGGACACCGCTGAAGGCGGATTTTTGCTACCTATCAGCAGCTTTAAGTTCCAAAGGTGTCTCATACCGTTTGCAGGACTTATTGGAGAAACCGCTGCCTCCTAGGCCACTGTTGCATTTAGCGAAGGATAATGGTAACGCGAACGATACCAAAAGGCACAAACAGCACGAATTTCATGCTGATCACGAAGCATCTGAGTATAATACACCTTTACCTACTGATACAACGGCAGTATTGGATTCTTCGCAAGCCAACAAACGGCCGACTAAACAACAATTATCAACCAATGCCCTAATTTCCGACCGAGCTAAATCTAATTCCATTGAAATGCATCCAGAGGATGGACCTTATCGAGCTCTGCCACTGCACCGGCTCGAGCTTAGTCATTTCAGGATAAACCCTGACTATAACGAAGGGCTCGAGTATGCATATAACACTGTTACCCGCAAGAAAAAAGAACGCAAGTGCATCAAGGGATGCACGCGCCCTGATTGCTGTGGAGAAAAATTCTTAGTCATGGCACGCCTTGCTGGTCTACGAACTGACTCTACAGTCTCTTGTCGAGAAGATGACCAGAAAATCCTAGAAGACTACTTGGGAGAAGATAAGCATTTACTTGATGGGCTTGGTGAAAAGGACCGCCAGAAGCTCCTTGATGAGGCAAAAGCAAGGCTGATCGCCAACTGTTTTGGGAAACATAGAAATCATCATCCACGTCCGGCTACGCCGCCAGGGTTTTGGCGCACGGATATGCCTGACACACAAGAACTAGAATTTGACCATGAGGAGGCAAGAAGGCTTGAGAGAGATAAAGTAAAAGAACGATATAGAGAAGCAATGCGCCCGGGTGGCCTTTGGAAATACGCGGATGAGTGAGCCTATGGGCGAGGGCCGGAACGAGGCACCTGAGTGGTGATTGCTATGGAGGAAGTAGATATTTGATCTCTACTATGGTTCTTGAGATTAGGGGTATAACTCTAACATCAAGAGAATATCAATGGCTTGGAGCTTTGAATAGCCAACTTTGCCCTAGTTAGTTACATCTAAAGGTGGACTGAGTAATAGTAGATAGTCCGAACGGAACCTCGGCACATATTCCTTGGCATGCGGAGAGCACGTGTTGCATATATCCCTGTCACTTGTTGATTTGCTCAACTTCATCCCCATACTTTGTTGTTACGTTCTCCTTCTTCCTGAGGCTAATAGGGGCTCGCTTACTACACAAAATACGTTCTTCATTGATTATGGATTCAACGCGGAACTGCAGAGGATCAGTCCCCTCGACGCTTTTGAGACCATCTAAATGGTTACCATTGTACGAGGACTTCGTGACTAAGAACGCTAGCTCGGTAGGTCAAGTAGAGTCGGCGTTGAGGTCTCTCACATACATAATCCCGGGTTCGTTTCAGGGTAATCTACTTATACATATACGTATACAAAAACTGATGCCTACGAACAACACAGGACGATACAGAGATTCGGAGATCTCGTCAGAGTGCGGTATATATACCGCCAACTTCAAACACGAACTAGATTTCTAACATTGTTCATCCAGTACATTCTTCTGTACAGCTCCTTTCGCTGTATCATGATTCCCTTGTTTCTCGAGTCATCTCTAGACTTCCATCGACCATCTCTCGACCGGCACCCACTCCACATTCCCGCTATACAAAGTACTGGACGTCCCACTCCTCGCTTTACCATAAGGTCGCCATCGCCCTTCAAATGGTTCAGTACACAGAACTACTTTGGGAAATGATCGCGCGGCGTCGAGGTGAAAAAGTTCGCTGGCGAGTTGTTATCCTCATCGAATGTATCAAAGCAATATGTCGTTTGTTTCTGCTACGTCTCACAAACTCGAGGCCGCTAGTCAGCCCTCCATTACCAGAGCGCGATGTCGACCCGAGATCTGCGGAAGAGGAGGAAGGCGATTGGAACGGGATGCAAACGCCAGTAAGCGAGCGGTCTTCGGACCTGAGCTGGGCCATGCCTCGTACGGGACTGTCGCTTCCTTGCCTTCCGGATGTGAACGACGTCTCAAATTTTTTAATATCGAAAGTACTTACTGCTGATGATATCAAGCCGCCCAAGGCCCTTTTGCACCGAGTCACTGGTCAAGGCCAGCTGGCAGAAGTATTGTACATTTTGCGGCCAGTAGCCTATGCACTAGCGATGCAAAGATGGAATGGCAATAAACGAAGTTGGAGGCCTTGGCTCATTGGATTTGGCATGGAGTATGGCTGCCGACAACTTGCCAAAACCGATTTTCGAGAGAGACTTGCTGGTGGCCTTCGTGGCCTGACAGGTCTGGAGCGCGAGGAATTGAGAAAGAGAGGATGGGCTATGGGATGGTGGTTCATGAGAGGCGCTCTCTATGAAAACTTGACCAAGTATGAGCGCTTATTACTACCACTAATCAATGCCATTGTTTTGCTAACTCTAACCAGGCCGTGGTTGAAAGGGTTAACTGGGAAGATGAAAGGGAAACCACTGCTTGACTTGGTAGGCAGTGTTGTCGAAGATTATGAATACCTGTGGGACAATTACTACTTTTCAACAGCGACTTTATGAGCTGAAGTATCTCATCTTGCTGCCTTCACCGAACTAAGTCTCGCCAATATCCCCGTCGACTCCTCGAACTAGGATATTGAAAGGAGTGAAATTGATTTGATACCCAATGGATCCTAGCATTCTTGTCTCCCTCCGTTCATTGATGACACATTTTCTTTATCTGTTTCTCCCCCGTTCCTTTATATCCTTTTGGCGTTTTCTAATATTGTTTGATACTTTCGCGATCTTCTTGCACATTTAGCGTCTTATATTTATACATTCTAGGGTGTCACACATCGCTATCGCAATTTCATATTGGAAGAGTGCTATTTCTGCTTAGAGGACCTCTGCTGTCTTCTGCCCAAACCAATCTCGCAACTCTTGATTGGTTCCCTTCGGAGCTTCAGAAGACGTCAAAAGGAAATCTCGAAGTTGTGTGTTTTCTTCATCAAGCGGCCAGTCCACCTTCATCCCCCCCTTCATCTCAAGCATTTCTTTCGAAGTGCCCCAGCTGAACCGGCATTCATTACCCCACCCGAATATGGGATCCATATTCCTTCGGAGCCAGCTTACGCACTTCGAATCAGAGGGATAACCGCTGCCCCAACTGTCAGTAGAAGTTGCCTGTGAAGGGTCATCGGATTGTTGGGCCTCCACTATATCTTCATGGCAGAGTTCCAAGGCTACATCTCGGGTCACTTTCGCAACAACACTTGCAGCACTAACACAAGGGTACAAAGAGTCGGCCTTTTTAGCCACTGTAATTTTTAGTGACGG